AAAAGCTTTTTCCTCTGAGTCAGCTCTACACACTTTCTCCATCCCACCAGCCCATGCCTCACCGATTGGTGGTTCTTGGCAGAGACAATCTTCACAGCATCTGGATCCCAGATGACCAGGTCGCTGTCAGAGCCCACAGCTATTCTCCCCTTGCGGGGGTACAGGTTGAATATCTTGGCAGCATTGGTGCTAGTCACAGCCACAAACTGATTTTCATCCATCTTTCCTGTGGCCTATTGAAATACAGAGATTGCGTGTCTGTGCCTGTCTCCAGGTGGATGGCAGCTCTACAAGTGCCCAGCTTCTGAGTTCAGAGCAATGGGACCACAAAGGCCCAGGACTACAAAGGTACTGAGCACAGATTCCATCTATTCAGCAATCTGGGGGATCAGCTGGCCAGTCTGAACTCCACAGGGAAAAATATAGAAGCACAGTACTTATGGGGGATGTCCTTCTGGATATATGTTTTTTCTTATTGGTTGATGAATAAAACACTGTTTGGCCAATAGAGGCAGGAAGATAGGCAGGACTAGGAGATGAGGAGAATTCTAGGAAAGGTAGGCAAAGAGACTGCAAAGAGAGGCCATGTAGGATATCAGGAAGATAAGATACATCTGGCATTCTCTGGTAAGATAGGGTAATGTAAAAATACATAGATTAATAGAAATGGGTTAATAACTAAGACAGAACTAGCCAGTAAGAAACCCTAGCCATCTACCAACAGTTTAATAATATAAGTCTTTGTGTGATTATTTGGACCTGAAGGGCAGAGGGATGTGGTGGCACAAGAAAAACTCTAGCAACATGTTGCTTAACATAGAAGTTTACTTCTCCTGAAGAATGCATTTTTCCTAGCTATGTACATGTAGATTACTTGTATTTACTTCTACTATTTCCCAAGAAGACCAGAGGGAATTTACAGTAAGAAAAGTGAGTTTAAGCCCCTTCTTCAGGTACATGTATTAATTTCTATGATCAAAAGATAAATATTCAGAGCCTTACAGATGGTGACAGTAGATAGGCCTGTGTTAAAGAATTATGTCTTTTTTCAGCTACATGTTTGTCTAAGGTTTCAGGGTGTCCTTTCATGAGCATGTATCATGTTGCAAATTTAAAAAACTAAAGTTAAGAGTTGCTAAAGAACAAGGATATGTTTTAAGAAGTGATTTTGTTGTTCTGTGACCATCACAGAGTTCTCTTACACAGTAAGTCATCTATGATATCACTAGGGTCTTAATCGTACACAGAGGACCAATTATAGGTTTCATATGCACAGGAATATCTGTATGCAACATATATAAGCCTTATATTAATTTTAACCAAATTCAGATAGAATCTGTAAAGATAAAACATTGTGGGAGTGACCAACCAATGACTGGCCCAGGCTGAGACCCACGACATGAGAGTGAGCCCAACACTGATGCTGCCTGGAGCATCAGGACCCAGAAGCTATTTGGCCCAGAAACCTAGAATAGAACAAAACACAACTGGAGAAAAAAATCAATGTAATTATGCCTAACAATAATCTGCTATACTCATAGATTGGTGCCTAGCCCAAGTGTCATCACAGAGGCTTCATTCAGCAACTGATGAAAACAGATGCAGAGACCCACAATCAAATAGTAGATTGAACTCTGGGAATACTGCTGAAGAGAGGGAAGAAAGATTGTAGGAGTCAGCAGGGTCAATGACATCACAAGAAAACTCAAAGAATCATCTAACCTGGTCCTGTAGGAGCTCATAGAGACTGAACCAACAACCAGATAGCTTGCATGGAACTGACCTATGCTCTCTGCATATATATTGCAGCTATACCGTTTGTTCTTCTTATGGGACTCCTAACAGTGGGAGCAGGGGATGGCTTTGATTCTTTTGCTGGCTTCTGCAACCCTATTCCTTATAATGGGTTGCCTCATCCAGCCTTAATATGATGGGAGGTGCTTAGGCTTCCTGCAACTTGATATAGCCTGTTCTGTTGATATCCATGGGAGCCTACCATTTTCTGAATAAAAATGTAAGAGGAGTGGATTAGAGGGGGGAAGAAAGAAGGTGAAGGACTAGGAGAAGAGAGAAGGGAAACTGTGGTCAGGATATAAAATAAATAAATATTTTAAAAAATAGGCAAAAGTCAACCATATGAGAGAAGAGACAAAAAGGTTGTACTTTCTCTTTTCATGAAACAAAGCTTAAGTGTAGAAAGGATTAGTTTTCAAACTCAGTCTGAAGATTATGTACTGGTTGGTTTTGTATGTCAGCTTGACACAAGCTAGAGTCTTCAGAGCAATGAGCCTGGGCTGAGGAAATGCCTCCTTGAGATCCAGCTGTAAAACATTTTCTCATTTAGTGATCAAGGTGGGAGGGCCCAGCCCCTGGTGGGTGGTGCCATCCCTGGGATGCTGGGCCTGGGTTCTATAAGAAGGTGGTTGAACAAGCCATGGGAAGCAGTCCAGTAAGCAGGTCCCTTCCAAGGCAGCTCCTGCCTATTTGATCCTGCCCTGTTTGAGTTCCTGTCCTCACTTTCTTCAGTGGTGAAGAGCAGTGCTGCATGAAGTGTAAGCCAAATAAAATAAACCCTTTCCTTCCCAGCTTGCTTTTTGGTCATGGTGTTTTTTTTCACAGCAATAGAAACTCTGACTAAGATGGCTTCCCAGAACTCAAGAATATGGGTCTTTTTAGGTTGACCATGTAGATGAATGAGACATTAGTTCAGAGACACTGTACTGGTATTACACATAGGGGGGTGACTGTACAATGGGTTTCTTATGAATTTTACTGAAATCATTGGGAGTGTTTCATTGATATGTTTATTTCTTTCATTAGTCTTTATGATACAAACAGAGAAAATAAAAAGATGCTACTTGGCCTAGAGACACTAAGAGTTCAAACACCCTCAGTGTGGGATGCCTTTGGTGTGACTTGGTGGCTTTAGGCACAGATGTCTTTTCAAAGCATCATATTTAATCCTTTCAAAATTATTTACAAAGCTTTTCAAATACAGAAAAAAATGGATGCACTATCATCTTAATCACAGATCATTCATGAAAGCAGATGAAGGAATTCTATGTATGGAAGCTCCTTAAGAGTTCTAGACCTCAAGAGTCATTTCTAGAAGGATGAGCTACCTGGCTCCATGAACATTTCAGCTTGTCGAGACCTCACCTTCACCATGTGATTGAGTCCCCTCTAGGGCATCCCTGAGAGACAGTGTCTTAACTTGATTGGTGCCTGGTTCTTTGATTTGTTCCATTGGTATTTCAGCCTGGGCCACCCTCCCTTGACTACCTCAGTCCCTTACCACAGCTTTGTCCCAGATGACAGACATGCGCTCCTCCACACCATTGGTGCCCTCAGGGATGGCTGTGAAGTTGTCCTTCCCAATGGCTTTCTGAGCAGTGCTGAAGGTACAGTGGGCACTTCCAGAGAGCTGCAGATCACCACTGGAAAAGGAGAAAGATTACATGACCAGGAGAGATCTCTGGAGAACACTGGGTGTGTGGTGGCAGAATCATGTCTTCAGTTTGAAGTCACTCTGTCCCTTACTAAGCTGTCTGAGTGACTTTGGGTAGTTTCCTTCTCTCTCTGGGCTCAGTTACCCATCTAGAAAGCAAGGAAGTAGAGTTAGGCCATGTCTTCTGTGGCCAAAAACAAAGAATCCAATGAGGGCTAGAGAAAAGAGTCAGTGGTTACTAGCACTTGCTGCTGCTGCAAAGGATCTTTTGATTCTCAGGGGCCACATTAGGTGGCTTGCAACTGGCTCTAACCCCAGTACCATGGTATCTCATGCCTCCTTCTGGCCTCTTCGGGAAACTGCACATGAGGTGCATATAAAGACAAGTAGGTAAGAACTGGCATATAGGTATGCATGTTTGTACACACATACACACACACACACACACACACACACACACACACACACAGAGTCATAAACATATAAGGACTCAAATGACCGGTAGCCTGATTTTGACTCTCCCTATAGTTACTGGCTAAGTGTCATCATGACAAATGCTTTGAGTTCTGACAAATAACTTTAAGAGTCTTGACCATCAGTTGCTTAATCTGTAAAATGGTGATAATAGTGCCTCACTAATAAAGTTGTTATGAGGGACAAGGGTCAGCATAAGCTTAGTGCATAACAGGAATCATGTACTAGGACCATTATTCACACTGGAATTGTGTCATCAACTGAATTGTACTGTAGAAGAACTAGCTTTCTGTTTGCACGACTGCTGGAGAATTTGACGTTGCAGACTCTCAGCTACCACCTAGACCACACTACAGCAGCCCCTATCCCAGTTGACTCCACAGGACACATGATATTCCTGCACCAACCTGGCCAGCAACGAGTTGATATAGTCAGGTGTGGTTGGGTCAGGGCTCAGAGGTGGGGATGTCACAAATGCAGCTGCCTTGGCCCAGTTCTTACTCCAGTAATGAGTTCCATCTATTCCGAGGCTGGCCGTGATGGGTTCGCCAAAGACCACATTTCCTGGAAAGAATAGATGTTAGGTTTGCAAGAAATATATACTACTCCAGTCCAGCATACCTAATCAGAATTCTAACTCTCAAGGCTTTATCTATGGAGTGAGGCAATCCTGGGATTCAAGTCTTTATCAACAGCTTTTCTAGTCTGTATTTTTATTAAATGTGAACCAATTTGTATTCTGTAAGTAAGAAGAAGCCACTAGTTCTAAGGTGTGGCAGTAAAACTCACAGTTTGAAAGCAATTTTAAATTTGACATGAAGAAAATAAAACTATATACTAAAAAAAACTATATAAAAAAGAACCATGCTCATTTTGAAATGTTAAAATGGCAAAGCAATGTGTCCTAGATCTGATAATATGATAAGCTATTTACTTCTCATACTTGTGAGAGGACTTAGCATCCATGAAGTGCTAGGCACATTGTAGATGCTCGATAAATACTAATTTCTTGTGTGTATGAGTGTGTGTGTGTGTGTGTGTGTGTGTGTGTGTGTGTGTATTGTGTATGCCTGGTGCCTGCAGAGACCAAAATCAGTGGAACTGGAGTTACAGGAGGTTATGAACTGCCACGTGGATGCTGGGAATTAAGAGCAGTCATGCTCTTCTTAACCATTGAGCTATCTCTACAGTCTTGGACATGGTTTCTTAACTTGTATGCTTAAATCCATGTAGGATTTGTGCTGATGTTTTATAAATCTCCTTTTGTGTGTGCATGTTTGTGCATACACATAAACATAAACATGAAGGTGCACGCAAGTGTGTGTATATATGTGTGTGGGTGCATGTAGAGGCCCAAGGTCACCCTCAGGTGTCATTCCACTGGTGCCATCCACCCTGTGTCTTTTGTTTTGTTTCTTAATTTCTTTTTGAGTCAGGATTTCTCTGTGTAGCTTTGTAGACCAGGCTGGCCTTGAACTCACAGAGATCAGCCTACCTCTGCCTTCCCAGTGCTGGGATTAAAGGTGTACGTCACTGCTGCCCGGCCACTTTGTGTTTTAAAACAGATTCAGATCCATGTTTCTACCTTCTCAGTGCTGAGATTACAAGCACACACCACTATTTGTAGCTTTTTCATAGGTACTGGAGTTTCCAAGTTTTCATAGTAAAACAATTACTGACTGAGACATTTCCCATCCCCATTTAAAAATACTTCGACAGTAGCTTTAGTAATAGTCCCCAAGGGATGCCCTACAATGGACTTCCAATGTAGAATGCATTTTTTTTGTTTTGGGTGCTGGAATACTAGTTGGGTTAGTCTTCCATCGTTCACTTGTAAATTTGGTGCTAGTGAATGTAATTCCCAGTTTATGCAAAACAATGAATCTCCACTTGATCCCAGCTTACAAAAAGACTTGCTTATATCCACTGATGGCTTGATGTAAGTTTATTTGACCACAGAGATTGTTACTTAGAAACAAACTAGAACATTTTAATAACATGATGTATTCCTTTCCTTTTCCAAACTAATACTCATTTAGTATAATCACATGTTATTTTTAAGGCAGTTCTGCTTTCCCTGGTGTAGGGTTCACATTCTTCACATTTTATGCAAAGGAAAAAATAAGCTAGTGTGTAAGTTTATACTCTGTCCATTTATATATTTAAAAGGAAACAAAGTTTGACAGAAAAAAGTAGTCATGTTGTTATATTTGAGAGAGAGAGAGAGAGAGAGAGAGAGAGAGAGAGAGAGAGAGAGAGAGAGAGAGAGAGTGTGTGTGTGTAAATATAGAGATACACATAAAAAATAAAAAATTTTTC